GCTTTTCCATTTTTACGAAAACCACAGAGGCGTCTTGTTCAGCGTGCTGTCAAACCTACACTAGCAAGGAGATCGGGCTGAAACTATAGCTACAAGCTATCCAAGGATGGTACTATAGAATGTCACCTCAAGGTAGGCCTAGTGGCGTCATCTCTTGGTTAGGCCGGAAACTTATCAATCCACCCTCGTATGTATATAAGTATTCATAAGTACATACATGAAATAAATGCGTACATATTGGTATATGTATAACCGTTTATCAATATCATTAGAGAAAATCAAATAAAGCCTAAAATTAGCCGACCGTGAAATTAGCTCATAATGACTTCATACATTCTAAATAATACCTAATAACTACTAATAAACTCATAAAAATACCTAGTAAAATAAAATCCTTAAATTAAAAAATAATGTTCTCCGTAACTATTCCTCTGCTGTTGAAACATTTTGTCCATAATTACAAGAACGATTTATAAGCTTTTTTTGACAATTATTTATTGTCCTCTAAAATTTAGTATTTTATCAAGCATCAGATTGTAGAAGAATTTCCGTATGTGTAACACTTGAAGTTAAATTGACAAAAATTAAAATATTATCCAGTAAAAAGCTCTCGAGTAACAGGTTAACTCCGATAAACTTGAAAAAACTTACTATTATCATCATACTAAAGGAACGTAGACATGTGAAGTCCTTTTTCCTAAATAAAGTGTCAAAAAATACATTCTTGTTCTGGACCCTACTCAATAATTTTTCCTTTCAATATTGACTAACTAACTAATTCTATATGATATATGATATTAACGTATGTAAAGGTATAAACACTTACCAAAACATTTACTTGATAATTTTGTAGTACAGGAGAGGAGTTCTGAAATAGAAATAACAACAAAAATTAAAAATGAATGCATTAGAAAAGAAAACAATATTAAATCGAGTACTTTATTATCTTAGCATTAATGTATTCTTCTACTTTTAGTTAGGTAGAGACTTCTTTGCAATTTAGGTAAAAGAAAATTTAAAACAAAAGTTCCTGAGATAGGATTGGAAACATTAGTAGGATTGTCGTTGGTAAGTGGCCAATAAAAGTTGGATGAAACTTAGGGAAACGATGGTCAATTAAGACAGGCGAAACTAAGAAGATCTATCATGTTATAGGTAGTTCAATACATCTAAATTTGTGATTTTTCATATCTACATATGAATCTAGCAGGCTAAATAAGAAATAGGAACTACATTCATACATAAACTGACATTACAGTATCAGATTTCAGAAATAGCTGGAAACTCGTTGAGATACGCTACGCTAATATGCTAATCAAAGCTTTTTTCAGATTTTGGAGATATCCTATTAGAAAGCGACGAGTGGATGCTTCAAAAGGAATAAATAAACTAAATAGGAAACTCACCGCCCTTACGATAATTACCTACCACAAAACCTTTTCCTTGCGGACACATGTTTCAACCAAACTCAGTGTCGCACAATGCCCATATTATAAATTGACGAAACACGTTCTAATATAACTAGGGCGAGTCCTCTTTTACAAGTTTTATTTATGAAATCCTCAGTTTATATTTTAAGAACGAAATCCCATGTCTCGATAATAATGCCTAATAATTAATTGTAGACTTTACAGTTTGATTGCGACATATACATGGGTATAGGTATGGGTATAGGGAGTCAGGCAGGGATGCACACAGGCAGGGATGCACACTGTCACCGCTACTTTTTAATCTATACATCGAAGACGCCATCAACATCATTAAAGACAGTACAATTGTAAGAATAGATGTACAAAGGAAAAAGATTAGTATGCTTAGATTTGCAGATGATATAGCAGTATTAGCATCTAGCAAGGAGGACCTAGAGATAGCTTTAAATAAAATGGAAGCGGTACTGACAGATCAGTACTGTATGAAAATAAATAAAAGTAAAACTAAAATACTGATATGCAAGGGAAGAAAAAGTAGGGAAAGAGCGAATATAAAGATAGGAGACGAAAAATTAGAAGAAGTGGCTGATTTTAGATACCTAGGAAGTCAGATAAGTGAGGATGGAAGGAGTAGTAGGGATATAAAGCAGAGGATAGCGCAGGGTCGTGTCGCCTTTAATAAAAAGAAGTCACTTCTATGCTCGCGAACGGTTAATTTAGAAATTCGAAAAAGGTTGTTAAAGGTGTATGTTTGGAGCACGGCGTTGTACGGGTGCGAAACATGGACAGTGGGAGCGGCGGAAAAGAAAAGGTTAGAAGCGTTCGAAATGTGGTGTTATAGGCGGATGATGAGGATATCGTGGGTAGAAAAGGTTAGAAATGAAGAGGTATTGGAAAGAATAGGAGAACAGAGGACTCTATGGAAGTCAATAAAAAATAGGCGAGATAGGTTGGTAGGACACCTTCTCAGGCATGAAGGTCTAGTCAGAGACATATTAGAGGCAGAAACAGGAGTTAGGAGGGGTAGAGGTAGACCTAGATTAGATTACTGTTCGCAAATAGTTAAGGATGTGGGTTGTTCTAGTTTTAGGGAAATGCGAAGTTTAGCTCAGGATAGGAAAGAGTGGAGGTACGTGTCCAACCAGTCTTAGGACTGATGACCTTATGATGATAGGTATGTTATAAACACACCCCCCTACATGAAAGTTTTCTTTGAAAAATCGTACTGATTAGCAATTGTACAACGTTGCAGAACGATAGGGTCGTTTTGAATTCCGCGAACGCATAGTGTTTGCAATATGACCTGAAATATGTATGGAAGCAGGTTCGAAAGTAACGGACACGTTTTAGCACTTTACTCTTCCTCCATTCTTCCAGCAGGTCGTAAAATACAAATGTTCAGATAGAGAGAGAGAAACCCAAGTCAAACGACTTTGGCTCTGTCGTACCTACGTTACGTTCCAAACTGCCGCATGAACAGTTACCCTGTATTCGGGATACTGTAATATTTGGAATAAATAAGATTTAAAATTGAAATGCACGACCATAAAAGGTGTGTCAACTCTTACAGATATTATTATGTTTATTCTCATGGCATCGTATTTGCATTTAATGCGAGCAAACAAGTCATTCCGATAAGAAAATACGGGGTAGTATTTTCTTGTTCAAAACTGAGATCGAGACATTTTATACGATGGCGATGTTAAGTTTTTTGAACCGTTTATAGGCAGGTATAAGAAAAAACCCTTTTTTTCACTATTCTTTCCAAAATAACATAAAATTTCAGATTGACACAGTTAATTTATGATGTAAACTAAGTGAATATTTGTTCATTCTCCATTCTTCCAAAATTAATTTTCGGACTGGTGAAATTGGATCATATATCCATTAATAAAACGCGATTAAAAATTTAAAACAGCCATTATACATTTCACTTAAAAGACATTTCTTTAACAGAACAAAATTCCACATTTTTAATTTAAATTTTGCCACACTTTAAGTCCAGCTAGGACTACCCCAGGGTAATTCAGACCCGATCGGTATTATCGGAAAATAATGAAAATTTATATATGAATAAATAACCAGTCGTGTATACCTACACGCCTATTTATTTTTATATATGCACATGTGGTTTTGACAAGTAAATAGTAGACAAGATATACGTTTCTCGACTTGTTCATCTTGGTATGGACTCGTATCTCATCATCTCGTTCTTGATATTGTCTTCGTTTTCAATACGAGACAAGATCAGTGGAGCAGCTAGCATAGTATGGCTAGGTAGTGCAGTGTACCGGACCCTAATCATCAATTGGGGGGGGGGGCTTTTCTTATGATATAGCCGTTTTTGAAAAAATTCAAATATTTTTCATTATTTTTCAGACTGAATTTTTAAAATGCCGGAGCAGGTGTGTGATTAATGATATCAAAGAGCATTGAGACCAACTTTCAAGGATAAATTTGAAGACAACCAAAAATGTTCTATTTACAAGTTTTGCCAACCCTTAGGGGTTGAATTTTAAAATATTTTTCATTATTCCTTGTATGCATCATAAAAATTTCAGTTGACCAGGTCCAAGAATTTACCCTGGACGTTGATGAGTCGGAAAGTCAGGACTTTTTAAACATACATAAAGATCACAAAAAGCTCTGACATGCCAAAATGTTTCCTTGAACTGTTACTTATTTCAACAAGTTCGCATTCACGTTTTGTTGTGCGAATGACGATAAATTGACATGAAATATGGATCAAAAGCAAATGTTTGAGCTTTTTCCGCTGATTTATTTATTGTGGGGGTCGACAGCCTAGAATACGAATTGCATCATTTGTACAAGCACACGTTCAGTCAAGTCAGCACTTGTAAAACAAAAGTATCACAGCAAAAATTTATGTTCGCATCTGTACCATTATTCCAGGGAAGATTATTGTGATGTAGTTGATATAAGAATGATATTCCCTCTTAATACTAATTGTATTAAGCTCTATTCAGCAATAACACGTACTTGTAAGGACAACTGTAAGATATTTGCTTACTTTCAGCAGCTAATTAAAAAAATATTGGTAAACGTCTAGATGATGGCCCCTCTTAAGGGGGCGGGGGTGGGTGGAGAGGATGGTCACCTGAGTAAAACCCCATAAAAAATTTTGCGGCAGTCTCACCCCCATAAAAAGTTATGGGGGTTGAAAGCTGATTATTTTGACAATTTTCATACACTATAATTCAAATAAAATTCAATAAAAAAATTATTTTCAAGCGGGTGGAGGTGGGGGATCGAAAGAGGGTGGTCACTTGAACAAAACCCGATAACCTAACCTAACCTAACCTACCCTATTGATAAAGATATTTAAATAATGTTTTATATAACTTTCTCAATATTTTTATGTATTTTTCATTAGTTTTACCTTTGAATATTGTTTAAGAATGACTATATAAATATTTACATGCCTAGAAATGTATAAAAATTGGCATATTTATTAATTTTGAACCCCCATAACTTTTTATGGGGGTGAGACCGCCACGAACTTTTTATGGTGGGGGCCATCATCTAGACCTTTACCAAAACATTTTTATTAAAACTCATGACTCACTCATTATCATTTTTCAGAATAAAAGATTGAAATTTGGTTTTTGTTAATTTCGTGGCAGGGGTTACTGTCGTGGAGTTCTTATTTCAACACCCTTGCTAGTCGGGTCTCAACTGATCGTGTCCTTCTGCAGCAACTTAACAGTGTATTTACGTTTTTTTATAAATTTCTTAATTACAGTGTTGTTATGCTTCATAATTACTGTTTTGTGCGAATTTTTGTCATGCATACTAATTACGTAATTACAGACATATAAGCAAAGTTCAAATTGAACTGTTCAATATCGGTAGAGACTTATAAATAAACAAGATAAATGTGGCGACATACAGTTAGCGTGGAATGAGACAATAATAATGCCTCACATTGCTTATCAAACGACCTTTGCATTTAAATGTGAGTAATATAGAGATAAGTATTAAATAACAAGTGCTTGAACTGTTATGTTTACTGAAGTATGTATAGTGAAACCAAGTACCTACTAAAAGACTTAAAATTTTCTTATTTTTCCCAGACTTCATCAAAAGTAAAAAACCATAAATATAACAAAAAAGGAGAGTTCAGATAAAAGATGCCGCAAAGCTCAATTATGTAATATAAACATTTTTTTTTAATTTTTAACTAAACCAATTAAATACATTCATATAGAAGCACTTGTTGACGTTGACCATTCCAGGCATGTTGACTCCACAATCGCTAGGATTCTGCTTTTCTCAGGCATGGCAGAAAACTAGAATCCGATGATTTTGAGGAACAGGAAAAACCTTAAAGGGCGAAAAACTTACAATCTAATGACATAATAGCGCGTATAATCACTTCAGGCCTTTCGAAAATGCCTCCTTTACAACCCGAAGAAGAAGAAGACCACTGGTCCGCAATTTCCAGCAAGGGTAGGTCCCTTTGTTTCCATTCCAAATCTGTACCGTTCAATGCTGAAGAAATTTATTCGATAGATCTGTGCTGACTACAATAACAGAACCCATTTTTAGCAGGATGGAACCACGGCACATAGAGGTAGGTTCTCAAAAGAGACAACGGAGCATTTTTCCGAGAAAATGTTACTCGGATGATATCGACTATCCTCCAGGCTCTGTAGATTACCAGACCTACCTCTAGGGACACCTCAACATCAACAGTTGAAGTCCCACAAGAAAGCATCCGACGCGAAATCGTCAGCCTCAACCCAGATCATGAGGTCATGATTGCAAGAATGTCTGGCGCTGGACGCCATTTAAGCAGGATTATTTATGATCATCGTCATCATCATCATAAGGGAATTAGTTCTAGTCGTAAGATTGGTTGGATCTTCGCATTTCCTTAAAACTAGAACATCCCATATCCTTAACTATTTGTGAACAGTAATCTAATCTAGGTCTACCTCTAATCCTCTTAATTCCTGTTCCTGCTTCCAGTATGTCTCTAACTTACCCTTCATGCCTGAAAAGGTTTCTTATCAACCTATCTCGCCTATTTCTTATTGACTTCCATAGCCCTCTGCTCTTCTATTCTTTCTAATACCTCTTCATTTCTAACATTCTCTATCTATGTTATCATCATTCGACTGTAACACCGCATAATATATGTTTAAATAAATAATTTTAAGTTCGCATTTACTCGAGTGTTTATTATTACGTAGTTGAAGTGTAAAATCGGACATCCTGAATTTGTAGGTGATGATGGTGACTGACGTTCTTTCTTCTTTTTCAAATAACCCCTTCCCGTTTCAGGAATCCGCGATTTGGAGTTCGTTTGGTTTAGAATCGTAACCGAGTCATCATTTCGGGCAAGTTTATGCAATGTTTAAACAGTCGTGTAATCAGTCGCCGCGTGCATACATTTACATGACACGTAACAGTAGATGAAAAGGGGTTGCCATAGCGCCCCCGCGGCGTCGATCCGACGCTGCTGTCGGCCGCACAGACTGCGGGTATCTCACCCTCTCATTGTGCCGCAATTATGTAAAGTGATGGATTTAATCGAGGAGGACCTAAAGCAAGCTAGCTATACCTACGAAAATTTAAGTGTTTCAGAAGAACACGATTCTTTATTTTAATATGGATGTGATTATCACGATACGTATTATACCTGCGTCTGTTGGTACGTATTTACCGGGAAATAGTTTTTTATTGATTCGCTGATACTTATTTTACTTGAAATCTCCTCCTGGTGTTCTCTTGCGTTGGTAGGTTAGATGAGAAGCGTTAGATATGGTGCTTCCAACACGACATCATCGACTTGGAACTTAATAAGAAAAATGCGAGATAGGTTGGCAGGGCATATTCTTAAGCATGAAGGGCTAGTTAGAGACATCATTATCATAAGGTCGTCAGTCCTAAGACTGGTTGGACACGCACTTCTACTCTTTCCTATCCTGAGCTAGTCTTTGCATTTCCCTAAAACTAGAACAACCCACATCCTTAACTATTTGCGAACAGTAATCTAATCTAGGTCTTCCTTTACCCCTCCTAACTCCAGTTTCTGCCTCTAATATGTCTCTGACTAGACCTTTATGCCTAAGAGAAGGTGTCCTTCCAACCTACCTCGCCTATTTCTTCTGATTGACTTCCATACAGTCCTTTGTTCTCCTATTTTATCTAATATCTTCTCTTAATTTCTAATCTTCTCTATCCACGGTATCATCATTTGCCTGTAACACCACATTTCGAACGCTTCTAACCTTTTATTTTCCGCAACGCCCACCGTCCAAACATACACCTTTAACAATCTTTTTCGTATTTCTAAATTAACCGTTCGTGAGCCTAGAAGTGACTTGTTTTTATTGAAAGCGACTCGATCCTGCGCTATCCTGTGCTTTAGATCCCTAGTACTCAGCCACTTCTTCTAATAGAGACATATTAGAAGCAAAAATAGAATTTGAGAGTAGATGTAGATGTGGTAGTTTTAGGGAAATGCACAGATTAGCTCAGGATATGATAGTTTTAGGTTTGACTACTGTATGATAATGATGTTGATCTCCTTCTAAGGTTTCAACTATTTACAATGTTTTAACCGTAGTTAATCTTCATTATTATATCATTTAACAAAAACGACTTAACGTAAATAAGCGCAATTTGTATACTTTTTATGGATTCATCATCTAGCTTATTAAGAACTTGTTGTTTTCATACTAGTTGTTTTCGTCAAAATTATCTATTATTCAAAGCACGGTAACCTAAATAGTATACGCACAAGTTTCCTTTTCTGTTTTCTTTGTATTTTTTAAATCGGAAGTATTGAACATCGCTTGGAGGGATGATTTTGCCAAAAACTCGGAGAAAGATCAAAGTCAATGGAGAATTGCCATTGAAGTTCTCTCTGTTCTGTAACAGAGCATGTACTTCTACACATATGAATACCTAATACGAGTAAATGCATACATAGAGGCATATACACGAATATATATCTATATGCCAATCTACCGATCAACACCCAGTCGCGAAATTGGTGCTCTCAAGCGCGACATCACAGCGGGCTGTGAAGTACATTAAAAATTCGCAGCCCTCTACAAAGCACCCCGAATTCAGAGCTAAGCTAACGGCCACGGCCAGTCAGCCGTTCGGCGCTAAAAGTAAAAACTGATGCTCTCAAAAAATCCGTGACAAACGAAGCGAATGAGAACGCGCTGAGAGTGGCAACGAACCGACAACGTTCTGATGCGTTGGATGGCTCGATACATCATTGATGAGAAGCGTTATGGTGCTTCCGACACGCCATCACCGTCCTGTTTTTATTCTTTATTAATGCATCCATCGACGAACTCTCTCTCTCTCTTTCGGCTTTTCTTTCTTTATATCTCGTTTTGCTCTTATCTCTACGAACATGCCAAGTCATTTCACCTGAACGTCGCCGAGCGTATCAAAAGTGGGCTTCTTGCGTGTCATGGACAAATCACACGTTATTAGGATTAAAATTCTAACGTTAACTATTAAGTACCCAAATACATTAATATTCCAGGCAGGGTAATGGAAAATATCAGCATTATCAGTACTCCAATTCAAGTCTTTGCATGGATTGTAGTCCTTATGATGATGATGTTGACCTATTCTGGGTTTTTATTTGTGAAATTCGTCATTTCATGTAAGAACATTCAGACCACAATCCTTGTAAATCCAGTTGAAATGATACGGCAGGATAACAAAATTGAATTTCGCTATCATCTCCCGTTGGCCGTGAAATATACTTCGTTCATGCGTGACAGTCGTTTCTCTAACCAATTTATGTGCAGATAAAAGAGCATTTTTTTCGGCCAGTCCAGTTCGCGTGGAAATCGAATTTGATACCTGTGAGCCGGAGAGCACAACGAAGAGGACTGGCCAGCAGGCCTAGCAGCAGGTAGGATATGTTTTCTTACGGGCCAGTAAATAGGATTTGTCGCAGTAGGTTGCACATCGCCGAAATTCGAAACCCGAATAAAGTCGATCGGTAATTTTGGGACTGAAGACGGTGAGCGTGACGCAGCCAGTTTTTTTCTTGTACACCTTTTTATTTCACCCCTCTGTTTACTTCTTTTTTTCATGTGTCACCTCCGATTATTGTTGTAGAATTTGGTTATACATATTGTAAGTATCTGATTCATGAAACTTCTGGTTACTGAAATTGTTGCGAAGAAAAATTCATGCCAGAAATGAAAAAAGAACCACGCTGTTCTAGGGGCTGTTCAAGGATAATACCACATGGTAGACCATGGGTGAGGAAACCATAACCATAAACCACAGTAATTTCAAATTTAGAACACGATCTTTTTTAGCATATCGCTTTTGCTTTGATGGTAATAGTCCTTTGTGGATGTCCATAACCCGACTGGAATTTATAGGGGCTATGCCCCATGTAATATGCGGGCCTCATATGGCTAATGAGGAGCAGCAATGCAATGTAGATTCGTCATGAAAATCCCATGGAGATATACTAAAATGAGAATTGCCGTATGGGTTTTCGTATGGGTCTTAAGGGGCAAACCTATCACATGTATAAACTTACAATTAAATCTACCTTGTGAGACCTCAATAAGGCAAATCCAATTGAAAATACTCTCGGTTAAATGAAAAAATTATAATAATAATCCCCTTGTCTAATTATGTTGTCGTTTCAATGAAATCGTTTACATTTGTAACGAATCAACAAGTGTACTTCCTGATATTGTTGGGGCCCCACAAGAACTAGTGTGGCTACCCACTTAGGGACCCCACTTGCACCCCCTTCAAAATTCTAGACGGAAAACTAGCCTCTTTTTGACTCGCTCCTTCTCCACATTATTTAAACCAATCATACAATTTCCTTTTTGATATAGTCACAAATGTAGAACGATTTTGATTTTGATGTATAAAAAAAAAGCAACCCTTAGATATAACCGTGACAAGTTTACATTGGTCCTAAAACATTGAAAGTGATGTCCGGAGAGGGTTTGTAAATTATTTCTCTCACCTTGAACTTCTCGAGAAGCAGCAAAGCTTACGGAAGTATTTCAATTATTCATGCTGATGGATCCCAGATAAGACGGCACTTGGGAAAGTTGGAAAACGCCCGAAAACTGTCAAGAGTGAAATTATAAACTTTAACAAGGGTATGAATGCGGGAAAGACAAAGGATGCTTCCCATTTGCCGAGTCCGAAACAGTTAAGTGGTGTTGCAAATCTTAAGTGTATACGCGAACAAACTTTTGTATCTCTTTATTCAGTAAATGATGAGAAGCTTTTGGCGATAGTCTCTTAAAATTCTGTTTTGTCGATAGAGATTCATTTGAACAGAAGTTTAAAACCGGATTGCGAAGTATAATGACATAACGAAGACTAATTGCTCATTGTGATGGGGCTAAGAAATTGAGAGAAAGGATTAGATGCGTTGTAGGAAATGGGACAATGAAGGGGAACTATTCAATTCAATTTTCGATCCATGGGATTTTAAATGAAAGGAAAACGTTATCTCCTTTTGTGGCTTTTTAAATGCCTGAAGATAAATTTTGTTGTATAAGTAGAAAATCCAACTTCATGAATTAAAATAGAACATAGACATCNTGGAGAATTGCCATTGAAGTTCTCTCTGTTCTGTAACAGAGCATGTACTTCTACACATATGAATACCTAATACGAGTAAATGCATACATAGAGGCATATACACGAATATATATCTATATGCCAATCTACCGATCAACACCCAGTCGCGAAATTGGTGCTCTCAAGCGCGACATCACAGCGGGCTGTGAAGTACATTAAAAATTCGCAGCCCTCTACAAAGCACCCCGAATTCAGAGCTAAGCTAACGGCCACGGCCAGTCAGCCGTTCGGCGCTAAAAGTAAAAACTGATGCTCTCAAAAAATCCGTGACAAACGAAGCGAATGAGAACGCGCTGAGAGTGGCAACGAACCGACAACGTTCTGATGCGTTGGATGGCTCGATACATCATTGATGAGAAGCGTTATGGTGCTTCCGACACGCCATCACCGTCCTGTTTTTATTCTTTATTAATGCATCCATCGACGAACTCTCTCTCTCTCTTTCGGCTTTTCTTTCTTTATATCTCGTTTTGCTCTTATCTCTACGAACATGCCAAGTCATTTCACCTGAACGTCGCCGAGCGTATCAAAAGTGGGCTTCTTGCGTGTCATGGACAAATCACACGTTATTAGGATTAAAATTCTAACGTTAACTATTAAGTACCCAAATACATTAATATTCCAGGCAGGGTAATGGAAAATATCAGCATTATCAGTACTCCAATTCAAGTCTTTGCATGGATTGTAGTCCTTTTATGATGATGATGTTGACCTATTCTGGGTTTTTATTTGTGAAATTCGTCATTTCATGTAAGAACATTCAGACCACAATCCTTGTAAATCCAGTTGGAATGATACGGCAGGATAACAAAATTGAATTTCGCTATCATCTCCCGTTGGCCGTGAAATATACTTCGTTCATGCGTGACAGTCGTTTCTCTAACCAATTTATGTGCAGATAAAAGAGCATTTTTTTCGGCCAGTCCAGTTCGCGTGGAAATCGAATTTGATACCTGTGAGCCGGAGAGCACAACGAAGAGGACTGGCCAGCAGGCCTAGCAGCAGGTAGGATATGTTTTCTTACGGGCCAGTAAATAGGATTTGTCGCAGTAGGTTGCACATCGCCGAAATTCGAAACCCGAATAAAGTCGATCGGTAATTTTGGGACTGAAGACGGTGAGCGTGACGCAGCCAGTTTTTTTCTTGTACACCTTTTTATTTCACCCCTCTGTTTACTTCTTTTTTTCATGTGTCACCTCCGATTATTGTTGTAGAATTTGGTTATACATATTGTAAATATCTGATTCATGAAAC